ATGTTGGATCTCAGTTTATTATTTGTATTTTTATTAGATTAGTGAGCCATGTGATTGACATCTTTATATGGCATCTACTACTCAGAAAAAAAAAATCGACAAAAACTACAAGCTTGATGGAGACAATGGAAACTACCATATGGTCTATGCAGAGTATCTAAATTCCTTTGCACCTTTAATAGCATTGTTGATTAACTGAAATTACCAATTTAATATCTGTATTAAATTGATTTGATCAAATTCACCCACTGTTTAGAAATTGTATATACATACTATAATTGCTTTTGGAATTTTTAGGTGCAGTTTTCGATCCTGGTGAAAATTGTAACTTCCTCCACCTCCTAGAAACTTCTTGCCCCATAGATTATCTCTGCATTGGGTTAGACCTAGCTTGAGGAATTTGTAACATAAATTCTGAATCCTAGCATCTCAGGGAAACACACCTAGCAATCTCTCTTTCCTGGAGAGACTATCCTGAAAGCCAGACATAAATGTTCTCCCTCACTTCCAGAGCAGCTTCACATGAACAAAAGTATTAGTAAGAACAAATGTCCATCAATTAGCCAGACACATCACACATAAGCTAGCACCATACTTCACCCATCAGTTTTCTAAGTCAATTCAGTCTAAATATCCTTCAGAACAGTGAAAGGTTAGGCTAAATAATTTTATACAAGTGAGCACCATTGTTTGAGGCAGTATTTTTTTTTACTTTGTCTTTGGATGTATAGCCAGACAGACTAATTCTGCTGAGAAGGTTTCAACTGTAATTTTACAGTAAATCAAGGATATCTGTGCAGGCATCAAATTCCTAAGGAGCATCCTTTTTCACAGTTGGAGTTTGCTCTTTTTCTCATAAAGCAGATTTGTCCTAGTAGAGATTTGTAGGTGTTTTCATAGGAATGTATCAGTCTTCAGCAAAGCTATTTATCATGAGGAATAAAGTCTAAGAATGCTGTTCTTATCAGAGATTAAACATTGCAGACTAAGTTCATGTATCTTCTTGTATATTTTTTTACCACACTGATATGCAGTTGTGCCATATTTTAAAAAGTAATAGCAGGTGAATGTGCAGCAAATTCCAAATTTCTCTTTCTTTCCTACCAAATGATTGCTCCCTAATAACCCTGGATATTAAATAAGTTGATTTAAGTTTCTTAAAATTTATTTTTCTGTTATAGTTAATGTACAATGTTATATTAGTTTCGTATGTACAACATAGTAATTAGACATTTATGTACCTTATGAAGTGATCACCCCAATAAATCCCATACCCATCTGACTGGTCTGACTTCCTGTACATTAAGAACATCCTTTCTCCCCCACATCCTGATTAAATTTTCTTACCCTATAACATACTGGTGTTTATCCATAGAATAGTTTCAGTGGCTTTATTTCTTGAACTCTGTCCAAGTCTTTTTTTCCACTGAAGGTAAGGAGACCTCGGTATTTTGGGTAGAGATTTTGAGCAAGAACAGATGCCATGTGAATGTACAGATCACTGTGAATTAGAGACGGTCAGCATGGCCCTTTGACCTCTGAGTGGTTAAGCGTACAGTTAGGGATGGATAGTTATGCAAAGCTAATGCTTTTTCATGATCACTATACTGTCTCTTTCAGCAGGTAGTCTCTTTTCTGAAAAAGGTTATAAGCATCAGGAAAAAGTATATTAAAGAATAGAATTGATTAATGTGACATATTTGAGTTTCTTTCTAGCACTCGCTCAATAGCACGTCGAGAGGCAGCTTCAAACACAGTGAATTAAATTTAAATTACACAGCTTTGGCTAGAAAATTGTTCAGTTAATTCAGCCTCCAAAATGAAATTTACTTTTTTTCCTACACTTGAGACACTTTCTGATTTTTAATACGGTGATGATTTTTGCCAATGCATTTACAGATTTAAGATCTTTTATTCACAAGACTATTCCTGGGTTTTGTTTTGTTTTTTAAGACTGTTACTGGTTTTTAATTTCTGAAGGAAAAATATGAAAAACATGAATATGTATATTCATTATACCAGAAAAAGTAAATTAGAAACTAAATTATAGTTATACAATAAGGTCATATTGGTACAATTTTTTCCTACTCTAAAGAGCTATGGAAGGTATTATTTAATGGGTGACATGTTTTGTTATTTTAGGTACTGTGTTTTGTGAAAGATAACACTGAGAATATTCTAACGCATTCTCTTTACTATGGGATTGTTCCAAAAGGCTGTTGAACATAGAAAATAGGTCAACATTTAAAACAAAATTTAACTTGTATGGCTAAATCATTTAGTTTGCATAAAACACTATACAATGAGTCACACATTTTTCAGTCCATGAATTGCTTTTAAGAAGCAGCCTTTATTTTCTAAGCTTGATGTTTGACTTCTAATCCAGAATTCGAATGTAGGCAATAAATGAGAGAAGCTTAGCTTAGTTCAACAAAGTATCAATATAACTACTGTATTTTGATTACATGTTAATGTGAGATATTACATGGAGGATAATTAACACATGCAACTTCTGGGTTAATATCTAAAATTGTATTATTTATAAATACAGTGCAAAAAGATTATATTGGTTCTATAACTGTGAAATAATAGCAATATTGTTGTAATATTGCAACTTTTATAAGCATTTACAATATGGTACTATTCTAGGTACTTTTTGTGTACTGATTTAATTCTTACAACAAATCAGATGAGAAAATAAGGCAGAGAAACCTTTTAAACTTTTAAATCAGAGTTTCTCAATTTCTGCACTATTAGCATTTTGGGTAATTCTTGTCATAAGAGGGCTGTTGCAGGTATTTTAGGGTATTTACCAGCATTCATTGTCTCTACCCATTAGATGCCATAGTAGCTGACACCTTCCACCCACCCCCAACCCCGCCACCCTCAGCCCAGTTTGTCAACCTATAATGTCTCCAGACATGGCCAACTGTTCCCCTGGTAGAGGAGAGGAAAGGGGGCAACAACACTGTTGGGGTGAGAAGCAGTGGATTAAAGAATTTATTCACGCCCCGCTATCAAGAACAAAACAACAACAACCCTACACTGATTTCATTGATATAGTTAAAATTCTTCAAGGAACATGAGAAATTCTCTTGTAACCTTAAAGTTAATTTTAAAGAGTATCCACTGTGGTTGAGAAAAAAGTAGCTTTGCACTTGAAGTTAGTTCTTTAAAAAAAGTGAATGATCTGCTCTGGGCAAATCGAAACAATTGGCCTGCAAGACCTCATAATCCAATAACTTGCTATTATCAAGTCAGTTTGGCTGTTAGCCTGCAAGATGTACTTGTGCCAGGAGGAAGATGCTTTTTTTGCCTTTTAAAGCTCATTTTAATGAAAGGTACCTATGTTACTATCATGACAATTGCTAGTAGTTTTCACTGACATGAACAGTTACTATTCCAGGAAAACTGACATTCTGAATTTCGTTGTTTAAAATAATAGCAGAAAAATGAATGAATCCAGTCTCCTAATTGTCTCAGAGGAATTAAGAGCAGAATAATATGAAACCATCTCAAGATGCTCTTTAAATGCTTGCATTTAATTAAAGTTATATTGTGAAGCATTAGCATCAGAACAAATTCTTTGTTCTTAATTAAAGATCCTTCACTTAGAAAGTTTTTAAACCTAATTTTTTTGACAAAAGTGCATCATCCCTTGTCTCTATTTTCCAAAATGACACAATTATCTTGACATTTATTTATACTTTAATCTCTGACTGTATTAACTCCTTTATGAAAGCACATCATATTTGTGCTTATTGTTAAATGTAAGACCTATATTATTTTTTAAAAAGTTTTACTAAGGTATAACTGATATTAGATTAGTTTCAGGCATATAACATCATGATAACACTATTTATATATATTGCAAAATGATCACCGCAATAAGTCTACTAAACATGCATCACCATACATAGCTACAATCTATATTAATCCCACTTTTAAATAAGGATTTCCTTAATGTTGCAGTTCTGGGTATTGTCTAAACAACTATAATCTCCTTAATCCTTAGTTGATGTAATGAGATATTTTCCTTCTTGTACCATGAATTGTGTGATAGCATTAGCCAAATCTGATGCAAACCTTCACAATTTCCACGCAATAACTGCTGAATTTACTGCTGCTTGTAAGTGGCAGTATAAAACAACCTTTAGTGCTTGTAAATGAGTGGATTATATGACTAACTGGTAGGATTTACACACTGCTTTTTATTATGGTGATGGTTGTCTTTTTGCTGCAAGTGCAATGAGGCAACTAGAATGTCATGGAGAAAACTGTCACCTCTTTCTTATTTACTGTAAAATACCATCCCCCCAAACAAGCTTTTCATTTATTATGAAACCTTAATGATAAAAAGAACAATGGAGAAAGGATAACTGCTACCTAAATGTTACAAAACTGAGAGTTCATTGTGAAAGCTAAACACCAAATTTTAAAATTCCTTAAATAGACTATATTTGCTTTCTTTTTGACATTGGTGAAAAATATTCTACATTTCCTAATAATGACAAGCTAGATCTCAAAGATTCATCAAGCTCTACCTGGTCATGAATGTAAAAGGTTATAGCTATTCTGCTTTTAGGAAGCCAAGTGCAAGTACTGCATAAAACCTACTGATGCATACGTTGTAGCACTCCGAGGCTATACTAAATTTCAAATCTGTTTCTGCCAGATTGTTTTAAACCTTTATGCTACTGTGTGTGGCTTCTCTGTGCAGTTGAATGGATGGACATTTACAAGTTGGCTACCACCATTTCCATGCCCTCATGTAAATTAAGCTTTAACCATGTTTTCACAAATATATGAATACTTCTATGAGAGATCTAGAGTAAGCTGGGGCAAAAAAGTAAGCCTTCTGTCCTTGGAAAGGAAATACTGAATTTGGTTTCTCATTCTGTCAGGTAAACACAAACGGTATTTCACTTGTCAATGAGACAAAGACAAGAAGTTCCATTAGGTCCCTTTGAATTAATATACTGAATGTGATTCTTTTACAGACCACAGATGACATCCTGGTGGCCTCAGCGGAGTGTCCCAGTGATGATGAGGACATTGACCCCTGTGAGCCGAGCTCAGGTGGGTTAGGTTAGTCGACTTTTTTTCTTACTTTCTTTGCTTACTCTAAATCTTTGTTGCATGCCAAATCCTTAGAAAGCTTTGCATTTATATCTACAAGTCCATCCTGTTACAGAATGCCTGGTTGTGGGGTAAGGGTTCTTGCTTTTTTGAATAGGTTTTTCCCACATTTATTGGAAAACAATTTAAAACAAACCCACCAAGATTATGTATTTCAGAAAGAGCGGTGGGGGGTAGCACAGAAGACTGGTACCCTACTGTTCACATTCCATTAACTCACAACATAATTTCTGTGTGTAACGTTATAATGGGCTTCCCCTTTGGTCACCTCTAGCAAAACTGTAAAGCTTAAAAATTGCAGTGCATTGTGGAAAATTATGTGACCTTTCTACTGACAAAAAAAAAATCCCCACTAGTCACTCTTCCAGCACATTATCTTAAGTGATATATTTCTGAATTTTGGAAGTGAGAATATTATGGCAGCAATAAAACAAACAGCAGGTAGAGTCCTTGCTATATTTAATAGAGAATATTTGAGTCTTGCCTCTGGTCCCTAACATTCAAGCTGACACAGTTTAACTCTGGCTGATGCATAATTTCTCCTCCTCCTTTGTGGTATGGTGTGACTGACCAACACATAAATACTGTTTCCATTCAACTCTGTTCCATTTCCTCTCCTTTGTATTAAAGTGCTGGCTGTGGATCCAGAAAATTAATCATAGCCTGGATTTTATTTCAGATATTCATTATACCAAGTATGAGGGCATTTCCAGAGACAACTTTGTGAAGCAGTGTTTCTTAAAATTCAATAGTTTTCCTGTTTAGGTTAGCAAAATGGAGGAGGCAGGTATGGACTAACCACCATCCGCTAACTCACGACCTCTGTAGATGTCACCTAGAACACCAGGAAAACTTCATGTCACAATAAACTCATTTGCACCATTGTGAAGAATATTATTTTAAAGTGAATTTGCTCATTCTGATATTCAGATATTTAAAAAGGTGTTCAGGATGCCCATCTTGCATTTCCTTTTGAATATCACTACTCCCCATTGATTTCAGAGTCATACCCAAAGCACTTAGAGGAGCTTCTGAAGGCTAGTGAGGAACAAAAGCCTGGCGGTCCTCACTCTGCAGAAGTGTTGGGAGATCCAGACCGGGGTGTTCTTGTCCTCCTTCCTCTGCCTCCAGAATCATCTTTCACATACAGTTATGAGAAATCTAATCATCACCCATTCCATTCCTCCCATTTGTTGATCTCCATAAACATTCTGTTTTGGTAATTGCACAGATCTAGTCTCTTTACGATACCTTTCTGGGCCCCTTTGCCAAGACCCTGCTTTTTTTTTAAATTGATATTCTCATTCTCTCTGTTTCAAAAAAAGAGGAAGAAAGAAAGAAAAAGAAAGAAATAAAGAAAGAGAGAAAGAGAAAGAAAGAAAAAAAGGAAGGAAGGGAGGGAGGGAGGGAGGGAAGGAGGGAGGGAAGGAGGGAGGGAAAGAGGGAAAGAGGGAAGGAGAGAAAGAATTTATCACTTCTTAAAATCTGTTATATCAGTCCCTCAGTGCCATCTCTTTGCCTTCCCCTCCCTCAAATTATTTTCCCATTTCTCTTATTCTCACACTCCCAACCAGGGCATTCTCTTTGATCTTATCTGTCTGATATCTTCCAGCATGGATTGTTCATAAAACAAAGTCTGGTGTTTGGCTGTACATTGCTCTGCGTGTATGTGTTTATATTTGTTTTCCCAATTTGTGCTATCTAGAGAGCAGTCAGTTTTTTCAATATTTTCCACTGTATTCGCAAAGTTCTAAAAACAGTGCAGGTTCTTACTAATTATCCTACTTGCTGATTTTCCTCCAGCCTGTCTCATTTTGCCATGTAAGTAGAGGCAATCATCCTCTTAAACAGAGTCCTCACCTTGAGTGTCTAGTAAACCTTATTGTGAGAACTCTAATTACATTTAAAATTGTCACATTTGTTTTTCTTCTTCTGGAGTGCAGGTAAATGGTCAAAATCTTCTAGCTCTTCCTTAAAAGTCTTACTGACCATTCCTTAGAGTCTGCTTTACTGTCTCTCCCTTTCTCCAGAACTGGGGGTGGAGGAGAGAGAAGAGAGGAAAGAGAATACCCTTTGCTCCTCCTCTTGTCCTTTTCATTCACATGAGTTTTGCCAGCTTTGTCAAACATCATATAGCACAATGGGAAGTGAGGAGCAGTTTATTAATAACCATACTCAGTCTTGCTGCCCTTGTTTCCTTTACCACACTTAACACTATATGAAAGAATCTTTTTACTTATCTGTTCATTACTCGTTCATTGCATCTCCCCCTCCCCCCAAGAAGGGAAGCTCCATGAAGAAGAAACCCTGTTTGCCTTGATCCCTGCATGGATTTGTTGTGTAAATTTTAATTTTATTCTACTGCAACAAAGTTTGCTGTCCCCTATACAAGAACCACCAGCAGCTACTGGGTCTATCTCATGACAGCTACTTCAAGACTCTTGTACCAAGCTCCGTTTAACTTTTCATCCTCTCCTTCAGTGTTTCCTTACTCTGTAGTTTTCAGTTCATTAATTCCCCTTAAGACTTGAACTTCAAATTCAGTTGCTTCAATGGGATTATTTGCCGTAGGCTTTTCTTGTGATCCCACTTCTCCTTGAAAGTGTCTCAATAGTGCATCCTATGAATGGCTTCTCTTCCTATATTACATTTTGTGAGATCTCTTTTCTACATTGACACATTCTGTCCAGTTTCCTGTGATTTTTTTCATGCCCATTTTTAATAATTCATGTCATGTTGCTCTTTTGGCAGAATTGGCTCTGTGTGGCAGTCTCCTCTGAGATTCTTAGTTTATGATATTTTTCTATTTTCCAACTATTTTTCTTGAAATGGAGGGGTTTTAAAATGCTCTTCAATCTGGATATTGTTTTACTATAGAATGCCTTTCCTACAGGCCTTTCTTTCTTGATATACTTGTTTTCTTAAACATATTTTTATTGCTTGCACTTTATCTTGAATACAAATGTAAAATAACATGGACAAAAATTATAGTTGCTGATGTTATTAGATTTTGGATGCTGTCAGCCATATTTTGATAAAAAAATCATTTCAGATTATCAGCAGGTCATATTTTAGAAAACTGACTTTTTAGAGATGTTACCTATTGAGCTTTTCAGAAATGAATACAGGACTGGGCAAAAGTAGGTTTACAGCTGTTTGTATGGAAAATAATACAATAATAACTAATAATACAAGAATAAACTCTGTTTTGCCTACTCAGAACTATAAACCTATGTTTGCCCACTCCTACATATCTATCTGCTATGTACTTTTGCTACTCCTTAAGCAAGTGAAAGCAGGTATTTTTGTAAAGACAGACATAATAATTTCTCCAGGTGGGTTGTGTTTCACACTAATATTTTTCACACTCCCGGAATAGTCATATATGACGGTTCTCTAATCACCCTGACCCACAACCCCTTCAGATTGGCTTCTTCGATGAAAATGTGCTATGTTCATTATGTAGGTGCCTTTCTGAGGCTATTAATAAAACAAGAAAAATCTGACATATTCTTGGATACAAGTAAATTATGCCTTCTATCAAATGTTCGATAAATTTTAAATACCATGTGGTTCCCCTCAGAACTCTTAATGAAGAGGGAAGCTGTATATTTGGTGGGTTGTCAGTTCCACCATTGATTAAGTAGTATTGATTCCTACTTTTTACCCACTGCTCTTCCAAGCTCTGGAAGCAAAAATAGAACGTTTATATCTTCAGTCCCATTCTACAAAGGGACATCTGTCATTCTATCCTGAATGCTTTTTCAGTGAATCTTTATGATTACCAGGTTCTTCATCTTTGACATTAAAATATCACCTTTTTTTCAGGTTATTGAAAGAATTAAAACTAATATTTAAGGTGCCTACTGCAAGGCCTGGCATAAAGTAGAGCATAAATGTGGCTCTCTTTGTTTCAACTTAGTTATATAAAAAGAATATTCAAGCTATTTTTCCTTTTTACATAATGCTGTTACTTTTCCTGGCTGAAAATTGGTGGGCAATTGATGAAACCACTCAGGCCTCCTGACGGGAACCGTACATGTTGAAACTAGATCAGGAACAACCCCCTGGGTGGGAACACATGGAACTCAATTATACTTGATTGCAGCCATACTGTCCTGCATGGTTAGCATTAGATGACAACTTCACATTGGTATAAACATTGTTTAGAATACGAGACGGTGACTATGCAATTCAGGAAGTATGACTGAATCCCAGCTCTTAGCTGAAAGGTAGAAATCGGAAGCAGCCATTGGTAACTAGGTCACATTCCCTGAAATGCCTACTTTCAGCTTCCTGGATATGCGATGAGTAGGTGGCTTTTTTTCATACTTTCTGTGCTTTTTCCTCAGCCTACAGATATGGTTGTTAGATTAAATGAATTAATGTATGGAAAGCATGTTGTAGATCAATGCCTTGCTTATAGTAAGTGCTATATGGCTGTTCACTGTTGTTATGATTTGCATTATACACAAATCTTCCAAGACTTCTTTTTCTACATGAACATAATTTTTTGTAAAACAGATTTCTTTGAAATGTTATGGTCTAGGTTTACTTAGTAAATTGACAAAAATGGCAACACTACAAACCAGTTAAGTTTCAAGATGATCCTTGATCATCTCAGTATATCTTAGTTTTGAGGTCCTCTTCTAAACAGAACCTCTTCTAAAAACTAAATAAATTTGAGACGGTGATTTTATGTTGATATCTGAGACAGTAAATGAACGTAATGACCCTCTTTGGTGTAGAATCTTTCTAATAAATAACTCTAATTTGTCATTTATTAAAAAGAGAACTGGGCCAGCTTCTGGTTTCCTGGGAGCCCTATTTAGGAAGGACAATTTCCTCTTTGATTTATAATGCTGAAAACCATATGTCCATTCTCTTTGTATATGTGTGTGTAGGCTGGGGGGTGGCTAGCTAATAGAATATTGGGCTGCTGTCATATC